ACTTTGTTGCACGGCCCAGCAGGATCTGTCTTCCATGGAGGTCCATATCTCCCTCAAGAAGCTCTGGCTCATCCCAAATAAGCAGTGCAGCCTCTACAGGGGTGTCAGCCTGCTCATCACCAACAGTGACAGTGACAGAGGCTGGAGATGAGGGCCCAGGAGGCTCCAGGGAGTCAGGGTTCACCTTAGGCAGGGTCTCCTCACTTTGAGGGTTGTCCCCCAAAGAGACACCCATAACAGTACCCATCCTGTGTACTGTAATTATCATAATTTTTATTCTATATTCTGTTGTAAGCACCAAAATATGTAGTTTTTTTCCTTTAAATAATCTTTTCTTTATTTTCTTCAGATGGGATCTCGCTTTGTTGCCAAAGATGGAGTGTGAGGGTATGAACATAATTCCCTGCAGCCTCCAACTCTTGGGCTCAAGGGATCCTCTTGTCTCAGCCTCCCAAACTGTTGGGAGTGTGAGTGCACACCACCATGCCTAGCTAACTCTTTAATTTTTTGTTGAGACCAGGTTGCTCAGGCTGGTCTCCAATTCCTAGAGTATGGTGATCCTCCTGCCTTGGCCTCCCAAAGTGCTGGGATTACAGGTGTTAGCCACTGCACTTGGCCTAAACAATCATCTTAATAATTATTATTTTAAAAATAATTTTAACAGTGAGAAAGCACATCTCTTATATTTATCTGCATATTGGCTAACTTTGGTGCTGTTCATTCATTTGTCTGGAATTTCATTCTGGTGTCATTTTCCTTCAATCTAAAGAGAACTTCCTTTAACTTTTTTTTTGTAAGAGAGACCTGCTGGGGACAAATTTCCTAAAATTTGTCTGAAAAGGGCATCACTTTGTCTCCATTTGGCAGGATTTTGTTTTGTTTTGCTTTTTGTTTTTTGATGGTTATAGAATTCTAGGTTAACAGTCTTTTCCTGAAGTGCTTTACATATGGTTCTGGATTAGATACAGGTTTGTACAAAGAATCTATAAACAACATTTTAAAGAAAAATGGAGAAACTTAAATACGATGATGTGAAGATTTACTGAAATGGAACCATGGAGGTCATTTAAAAAATCAGGTTATGAAACAGTGTGTACATTATGATCTCATTCTAATAAAAATACATTACATATGCTTAACCCATATTGTGTACATATGTAGATTATGATCTGGAGGGATGGATACAACAGCTATGAACAGTGGTCAGCAGTAACCTCCGAATGGGAACATCACTAAAAGGTTTATTTTCTCAGTTTCACTTTCGATGGAGCCCTAGTTGACTGCCGGGTGTTAATTATCCCTGCTCTTTGCAGTGGAAACTGGGCCCACAGACAGGGCCACCTTGGAGCCTGGCTCATTGGGAGCACTCAGCATGGGATGGAGATTTACCAGATCCACATAGTGGGACAGAAACTTGGTAGTGTGATTGAAGTCTGTGATGGGGCAGACAACCCGAAAGCAGGTTGGTTTTCTCAGAACCCAAGCAGTCTCACGGTGACCAGGTTCACCTGAGAACTGTCCCCTAACCGCCGCCAAATCCCGCTCTGCAGCTGGGGCTGAGAAGCCCAGACACCCAGCGCCGGGGCTGGCTAAACCCAGCCACAAACAGATAGCAGCCGGATCCGCGTACCTGCAGCAATTTGGCGGGACAGCGGACTGCAGGTCTGGGACAGACCAGGAGGCTCAAATTCTTGCCCTGGTCTACAAGACCCACTTTCTGGGAGGGTGGGGACAGAACCCCAGGCCTGGAGCGGGTTGGAAGGGTAACGCCGGGGTGAGAACTCAGACAGACCCTCGGGTCCGGGGAAGGTGGGACAGCAGGCGCCGGGAGAGGAGGGGATGGGAGGAAGAACCCGGGCGGCTGCTCCGGGAGCGCAGGAGCAGGACAGCTGCGCGGGCCTGGGGAAGCTCGCTCTCTTTCTGAGTAATCTTTATTCTTGCTTTGACTGTAATTTAGATCGATAGATGAATGGGAGGAGCCAGGAGATGAGACAAGCGCGGGAAGAAGGGAAGAGGAGGAGAATAGAAAAGAACTCGGAACCGCTCCACCTCACCCCACCCCACTCGCAGGATAAAGCAATCATAAGATTCATGCGTCAGTCTTAAGGTTCCAGCGTCATTCAGCGTGGCAAAGTTTCCCGGGCTTAGTGGACACTCCTATTGGTCAGTCTATTCGTGGCAGTGGCGCGAACTGCTGGTATATAAGGACAGGACCCTGGAGCTTCCAAGGACACGCAAAGGGGACCTGGACCTGCTGGAGCTTCCACGCGAAGGGGACCTGGACCTGCTGGAGCGTGAAAGGGTAAGAGGAACTCAACTCCTTTTTCCCCAATCCGCAGAGTACCGGCTTCTCTCCAGGCCAGTCTCACCTACCCAACACTTGGCGGGAGGAGGAGGAGACCAGAGCTACCGCGACCCAGGGCGACATCTGTGCGTTTCTCTTCTTCCTAGGAGGCCCAGCTAGGTTGTTCAGGAAATTCCCTAAAGGTCCTACTGTGGAGCACTGGGTGGCGGGGCGTGTGGGTGGGTGAAGGGATTGTGGGCGGGCCTGGCCTGTGCGCCTGTTCTGTCAGGAAAGCAGGAGGAACCCCAGTACAACCAGCTGGGGTTGTTGCCGGGAGTGGGGTGGGGGTGGGGATGGTGCGGAACCGGGTGCCCAGCCTGAGAGGCCAGCAGGAAGGAGAGAAACGCACACATGTCTGCCCTCTGGACAGATCCCAGGACCGTGAAGGCCCGGGGTCCAGAGAGTTTGCGATAGTAAAGTCAAGAAAGAAGTTCTGCAGGTGATTGTCTGACTCACCAACCACTGTAAGTTATTATTGTCCTTGATCTAGGAACTAAACACAGAATTAAGATTGCCGTTACCCTGCGGGGAAGTTTATAATTTACAGAGGGAAGAAATGAAAAAAATATCTTTCTTCCAACAAGGTCAGTAAAATGCAGGGTGTTATTGGAGAAGGCCAAAGAGCTCTATGATTTTAGTTTCCCAGTGATGCCAGCCACTGTTTTCCTATATAACCTTTACATACCAGAGCCATCACAAAGTGACCTCTGTGCGTTTCTCTTCTTCCTGGGAGGCCCAGCTAGATTGCTCAGGAAATTCCCTAAAGGTCTGGGGACAGGCCCTGGGGAGGTGGAATGAGCCTGCATGCCCACATCTGGAGATTGTTCATTCACTTCCAAGGCCTGCTGTCTTAGGTAATTTGGGAGACTGGAGTCCATGATAACCAGCAAGGACCCAGGGCACTCTGGTTAGTAAAGTGTTAACTAACTATAAATTTAGTCTAGAGCAAAGATGCTTTGAAGATATGACCACTTTAAGAGAGGCGTATATTGTGTAACTTTGTAACCTATGAGGAGAGGGCAGCTCTGTAGCTCAAGGAGTAGGGTGCTGGCCCCATATGCCAAGGGTGGCGGGTTCAAACCCAGCCCCAGTCAAAAAACTGCAAAAAAAAAAAAGTAACCTATGAGGAGAAATCTCTTTCAAGTATACTATGATGATTGATGACATTGTTGATGTTTACTTTTACTGTGAGGGTATAAAAGTAACATAAAGAAGCAGGAGACCCATCAACCATGACTAGATTAATAAACTGTGGTATATGTATACCATGGAATCCTATGCAGCCATAAAAGATTGACACTTCACATCTTTTGTAGTAACCTGGATGGAGGTGAAACACATTCGTCTTAGTAAAGTATCCCAAGAATGGAAAAGCAAGAATCCAATGTACTCTATACTAATATGAAGCCAGTAGATGATCTAATACACACCCACGCAACAGAAAAACTCAATTCAATTCAAGTTGGGGGGAGGGAAAGGAGAGAAAGAGGAGGAGGAGGAAGGGGAATCAGTGTGCTCCCACCTAATGGGCACAATGTAAGGATGTATGGCACACCTCCTGGGTGTGGACACAACTACAGCAGGGACCTTATATAACAAATGCAAACATTGTAACCTAATCCCTAGTGCCCTCATCTTAATCTGAAATTTTATAAAAATCAAAAAGAAACAGGAGAACAGAACAGCTCTTGAGGAAGTATTATTGCTGTTCTGCAGAATTGCTGACTTGTTTGTAAATACAAGTGAAACTGTTGATCTCTCATCTGCTTTCTGTTGAGCGACACGCAGACAGACTCCTCAGTCTGGCGACACCTAGAGGTCACTTCTGTTACAGGCCGTTTCCCTTTCGGTTTCTGCCTGGGGCTAGCTGATCACCACTAGTTTTCCTCAGAGCTTTATCCCATGGTTGGGAGAGGGGACAGTTTGTGCTGTCCTGATTTTACCTACAATACACCTGCATGGGAGGCCCAAACTGCTTCCACCAGGTTCAACAGAGAAGAGGCAAGAAGGTCACTTTCCTACCTCATGCATTTGTGCTGGCTCCTTACCAGCAAGCTTCCATTGCCCCCAGGGGCTCCGCATAGGACTCTCTACTCCCCACCCCTCAAACCCCATTTCCTGGGTTCTGGGGCATTTCTGCCTATGTGTATCTAGCAAACTCTAGTACAATTGGTTTACTTTGTGTCATGCAGCATTTTAAATGCTTTACAAATAGTACCTCACTTAATTCTCATAAACGAGGGAGGTTTTCTTGTTATTATTTTGCTAAAGTACAGAAAAGTCAAGTAAATGCTCCAAACCACAGAGCTAATAAATGACAGAGCTAGGATTTGAACCCAGGAAGTCTGAATCTTCATCCCTGACCTCTGCTGCCTCTCTCTCTCCATATGTTTTTGTATACAGGTCCTTCAGGACT